TAGAGGCCCAGTGCACAAAATTTGTGCATGGGGGGTGTCCCTCAGTACAGCCTGCACCCTCTCCAATCTGGGAACCAATAGGGGATGTTGGACATACCTTTCACAATACGGGACCTCTGGCTCCTAACCGCTTGCCTGCCTGCCTGCCTGATTGCCCCCTAACCGCTCCCCTGCGGGCCAGATTGATGCCTAACTGCTCCCCTTCTGGCCTGATAGCCCCCAACTGCCCTCTCCTGCTGGCCCAATTGCACCCAACTACCCTCCCCTTCCAGCCTGATTGCTCCAAAATGCTCTCCCCTGCTGGCCTGATCACCCCCAACTGCCCTCCCCTGCCGTGATCTACCTCCTCTGCAATGACCTGCCTCCTCCATGAAAGATAGCGGAGATGCTGGGACCAGCCTCCTCTGTGCCACGGAGAGCTGTGGGACCCCCAAGCCTCACTCTGTGGAGAGGCCACCGGGTCCTACCTCCACTGTGTGCATGGCCATCTTGTGGAGGCCATCTTTTGACAACCTTGCACAAAGGCGTCGCATGAGGGCATGACACCACCTAGGCATTTTTATATTTTACTTAAGAAACCAAATTTTTTCTCACTTGATTTTACTTTTTTATTATTATACTTTTATTTTTAATTATTATTGCTACTACTATTATTTTACCTTTTTTAAAGTTTCATTTTTTCTTTATTTTATTTAATTTTAAGATTAGTGTTATACATTTTATTTTTCTTTTAGCATTATTTTACTCTATCTCAATTTTTCCTTTATGCCAACACTCTCTTCCTCACTCTTCCCCTCTATTGTCCTGTTTCTCTTACCCTGTTCCTGCTTTAGTTTTTCTCTATCCTTTCTTTTTACTCCCTGTTAAAAAATATGTGTAAGAACCAAGAGGAAATGAAGAAGAACCAAGAAAAAATGAAAAATGATATCACTGCAATAAAGAACTCAATAGAAAGCATCAACAGTAGACTAAAAGAAGCAGAGAACCACATCAGTGAGCTAGAAGACAAGGTAGGAAAAAATACCCAAGCAGAGCAGCATCTTGAAAAAAACTTAAAAAACAGGAAGAGAGCATAAGGGAAATTTGGGACAACACAAAATGAAACAACATCCACATAGTAGGGGTGCCAGAGGAGAGGAAACTGACCAAGGAATAGAAAACCTGTTTGAAGAAATATTGATATAAAACGTCCCTGATATTGACAAGAAAAAAACTCAAACAAGTCTAAGAAGCTCACAGACACCCAAATAAGATGAACCCCAAAAGACCAACAACAAGACACATTATAATTAAATTGGCAAACACCAACGACAAAGTAAGAATCTTAAAGGCTGCCAGAGAGAGACAGAAAGTTACCTACAAGGATATCCCATCAGACTATTGACTGATTTCTCAACAGAAACACATCAGGCCAGAAGGGAATGGAATGAAATATACAAAGTCATGCAAAGCAAGGGTCTGAATCCAAGAAAACTGTACCCAAGAAGACTATCAATCAAAATTGAGGATGAAATCAGGAGCGTCAAAGACAAAAAAGGACTAAGGGAGTTTATTACCACCAAACCAGCAATGCAAGAAACGCTAAAGTGTCTGCTATAAAAAGAAGAAATAGGAAGGGAAGAAGGAAGACAGCATAAAGAATAAAAATGGAGAAAAAATTAGTACCCATCAATAATAACTTTAAATGTAAATTAATTAAATGCCCAAATCAAAAGACATAAAGTAGCTGAGTGTATAAGAAAATATAACCCATATATCTTCTGTCTACAGGAAACCCACCTCAGAACAAAGGACTCACACAGACTGATGATGAAGAGATGGAAAAAGGTTTTTCAGGCAAATTGAAATAAAAAAAAATAAAAAGCTGGGGTAGCAATATTTATATCTGACAAATTAGACCTCAAAGTGAAGGCCATACAAGAGATAAGGAAGGCCACTTCATAATACCAAAGGGAGCAATTCAACAAGGAGATATAACTCTGGTAAACCTATATGCACCAAATACAGTAACATCCAAATTATATATATATACCTTCTGGAGGATATCAAGGGAGAGAGGGACAGCAATACAGTCTTAGTAGGGGACTTTAATACCCCAGGAACATCACTTGACAAATCCTCTAAACAAAAAATCAGCAAAGAAACATTAATCCTAAATAACTCACTGGATTAGATGGAATTAATTGACATGGTCAGAACATTTCACCCCAAAGCCACAGAATATACATTCTTCTCAAGTGCACATGGGGCATTTTTAAAGATAGACCACATATTGGGACACAGGAAAAGTCTCTTCAAATTCAAGAAGATATAAATCATATCAAGCATCTTCTCAGATCACAAGGGCATAACTTTAGAAATAAACCACAATAAAAACATTAAAAAAGTCAAACACTTGGAGGCTAACTCACATGTTGTTAAACAATGATTGTTACCAAAGAGATCAAAGCAGAAATAAAAAGCATACTGGTAACAAATGACAATGAAAACACAACATCCAAAATCTATGCGACCCAGTGAAAGCAGTCTTGTGAGGGAAGTTTATAGCTCTACAGGCCTTCCTCAAAAGACAAAAAAAAAAAGGCAATAAATTATCTAACCCTACAACTCAAAGGATTAAAAGGAGAGCAACAAGAAAAGCCCAGAGTAAGCAGAATGAAGGAAATAATAAAGATCAGACCTCAGCCCAAGCTGGTTTGGCTCAGTGGATAGAGCGTTGGCCTGCAGACTGAAGGGTCCCAGGTTTGATTCTGGCTCAGGGCTTGATCCCTAATAGGAGGCATGCAGGAGGCAGCCAATCAATGATTCTCTCCTATCATTGATGTTTCTCTCTCTCTCTCTCTCTCTCTCTCTCTCTCTCTCTTCCTCTCTGAAATCAATCAATAAATATATTTTTAAAAAAGATCAGAGCGGAAATAAATGACATAGACACAAAAGAAA